TTCAAGCGACTCTGCGCTTGATTTTAGCGTGTTGTTTCAACGATAGTACGTTATACTACTATCTAGCGTTAGCGTGTCTTAAATCGACTACCGGAGCGTTTAATGACTATGCTTATATCTTTTAGTCTGTTTGTCTATGCTATAAATGAGCATAAAAAAAAAGAGACTGTTTAAACAGTCTCTAAAAATTGTTTGTATGTTTCAAAGTCAATTAGCGTTAGCGTGTATTCACTTTCTATTTCTTCTTGTATTGCTAAAAAACTTTTGCGTTGTGAAAGTGATAGTAAATCAATAAAAGTATTATAGTACTTATTTGTTTTGTCGATAAGTTCATTAAAATAATTATTTGAGTATTCATAGAAATAATCATAAAATGTAACTTTTGCTTCTATTCTTGAAATAGTTATATATAACTTTAATACATTTAATTGCGCTTGATTCAATTTTAACATGATTTATACTCACTTTCTTTAAATGTGCTTACTAGCACTTTTTTTCAAGTGCTAGTAAGCGTTATTTTTTATGCTTCTTTTGCTACTTCTTTCTTAACTGCTGTTGTCGTTTTCTTGTTAGCATTTTGAAATGCTACGACACATTTTTGCGTGTATTCTATTGTATCGAAAAATTCTTGTAATGTGTTGAAGTAAGAACGTATTACAAAATCTTGTTTATATGCTTGTCTAGCGAAACACATTTCTTTGTCGCTTTGCAAGTAACTTTCTAAAGTAGCGAAAGACTTTGTGAACTGTATACAATTTGCGTCGTACACTTTACAAATTGTATGTTGCGTACTATCTAATAAAGTAAGCGTACATGCTAAAGATTCTGATACTTCGAAATAAAAGTCTTTATTGATTAAGTGCTTATCAAGTGTTGATAATGCTTTATCATCACATAAAGATAAGTTAGTGAAGAAGTCTTTTAAAGTGCTCTTATCTTCTTTTGTTGCGCTTGTCTTTCTAAGTGCTCTTACTTCACTTGCTTTGTAAATAGTAGTATTTACTTTGCTTGTTGCTGAAACTGTTGCTACTGTGTTTTTAGATTTTGACATAATCGACTCACTTTCTCGCGCTAAAGCGCGTGTGCTTTGTTGTTGTTTACAATAATAATGTAGCAAAAAGCGTTATCGTGTACAATAGCAAAATGCACAAACTTTTTAACGTCTTTTTGTGCATATTTCTTACTGTGCATATTTCTTACTAGGGTACCAGCCGGTAATCAATAGCACACCAGCCATTAGCATAACCAATCGTTCTTTCCGGCAGTACTCCTATTTTCCAACCTGGCCTTGCTCCCACAACCGGCTTGACCGGCTTAGGTACCAACCTATAAATCACTAATAAAAAAAAGAAGGGAGATTTACTCTCCCTCTTCTAAATCTGGCAAATCAAGATATTCGGTTTCTAATATATAATCTATGGCTTCTTTCTCTTTGTGGTAAAACTCGCACATTGCACTGGCTTCATCATTGTAGTAATGTCCTTGGTCCCACTGATATGTTTCAATATCGAAGTTCCAGCATACTACAAATGGGCAATAATCGGTGTGTCGGTTGATTACTGTATAATCTGAATAAACTCCATCTTTTACTATTTCATATTGGGCTTTCTTTTCTTCTACTATCATTCTGGTTTCCTCTCTTTCTATATACATGAGCACTATTGCTCAATATTATTGTACTATATTGGATGTACTTAAACTACTGGCTAATATCTTATCCTTTTCTTTGTATCACGCCTTGCTCGATTTTCGGCATCTGGCACCAGCCTATTATATTGTGGGCTAAGTAGTTAGCCCCGGTAGTCCTTATAATCATGGTATATCATACCCTGGTATGTTTGTCCCCAAGGCTTATTCTCATCACAAGGTATATGCTGTAAGCCTTGTATAGATGACCACAATACTTTATGCTTAGGGTCTTTTTCACCGCGGGCTATTTGTTCTGCAAGCCATTCTTGACAACCGCGGAGAGAAGCAAAGGTATATGTACTACCATTACCTACATTACCATATTCTTTCTCCCATTCATATGTTAATGTTACTGTCCACGTTTCGGCTAATACTGTCATAATAGTCTCCTTTCAAAAGACAAGTTAATGATTACAATAATAGAATATCATATCTATATACTAATACTACTGGTTCTCTTTTATTCCCACGCGGCTGGTGCCTGCCGAAGATTAGGGCGTAAAAGAAAGAGGGAGATTGGTTCTCCCTCTATACTGTGTTAATCTCTGCTTACTAAATCAATTGTAAAGGCACCATTATCTCCCCATACGCTATCTGTTATATCATAATAACATACAGGCTTGCCATGCAATCTGTCAAGATGTAATTTAACTTTAAAATCCATGCCATCATAGGGGTCATCCTCTTTGTACTGTACATGATATGTATTTGTGGCAATCTCTGTTACTTTGGCATTTTCAAATGTCTCTTGGTCTTCCCCGCAAGTTTCAAAAATCATTTTGTACAATGCATATTCAATTAATTTCATGGTATGTCCTTTCTCGTTTTTAGAAGTATCGTTCTTCTATACTTATATTATATATACCAAGATATACTAATAAAACTGGTCTTTATTTTCTCCCCGACTCGGCTGGCACCAGCCATAAATTAACGTGCTAAGCCTAGCCACCAAGCATCAACTCGCCTTTTGCCGGTAGTGGGGCTCGCCTACATATAAGAGCGATTGCTAAAAATACCTGGAGATAGGCGGGAGAAGATGGATGGGTATTTTAGGCATTTTTTAAGTATTATATTCTCCTATATATAGAGAAAATACAACACTAAAATTTATGCCCATTATGCCCATCCAGCACGGATGGTACCAACCACGCTGGTTTGCAAGGATTGTTGGGCTTTTTTCTCTATTCGGATGGGCTTTTTTAATGCCCATTTAGGCATGTAAAAAAATGCCATGTGCCTGCTAAAAAATGCCTGTTTGTAGCACGTGGTACCAGCCTGTTCGCTAATACTTAGGCTCTCATTTCAGCACCTCTTTCCACGTGCAAATAAAGACATATTTTGGGGTACCAACCTTGCAAATAAAGACATATTTTGCACCTCTCACCATCGCTGGAATGCACCAACCACGCGGGTTCCCACCATCCAGGTTTGCAAATCAAGACACCTTGTCCTATGCGTGATACGTGTTGGTAGTATATAATTACTTATT